TTAATTGTCCAACTTGAAAGCAGTTCACTCGTCTGTATAAAGGCTGAAACACACTAGGCAGTCGCTTTAGTCGCGCGTCTAAAACTACCGCTTTGCGTGGTTACTAAGCTAGTAGCGTAGTCGCGTCAGCTAGTCGCTTTGAAAGTTCAACATGTTGTACTTTTGACTTTGGTCGCTTCAGTCGCTTTACACTGATTGGCCAATAGATACATTTTAACTTCCTAAATGCATATCATATTTCCTGTCATAAGCATCATACGAAATTTATAGATTATACCTTGGAAAACGAAGGCAATATATAGTGAATTCACACTGGAATCTTTCAGTTTTATATGACTTATCAAATAGGGACAATAGGAGCTACAAACTGGAACCCTAATGCACAACCTAAGTGCGCAGAATAAGATTATCCACAATATACGCGTAATGGACTATGATCATATTGGCGTGTTTTAACTGGCTTGTTCTCTTTTCTCCACATAGTAGTTTGTACTGAGTAAATATTCATATATTAGTAGCTATAATAAAGGCCAAAATAAAAAGTTTAAGTGATATCTGTGTCTGTAACAAACTAAAATCACCGCCATTTTCAATAGACGCCACGGTAAAAGTCGCGATGGTCGCTGCATGTGTGTTTCTAGCGTTCAAGCGACTGACGCGTGCGCATCAATTCGCTTTGGACGCGCGACTGAAGGGACTGCCCAGTGTGTTTCAGCCTTAAGTGGTTGATCAACAATAGCAGGTCTTCCTCTAAAGTAACAACTTGTAAATTCAACATGATGTTGTGGTTTTTTTCTTCATTAACACTTACTGCTGTTGTTGGTTATTGCCTGGAAATATTAACACATTTTTAGATGGATAATTCGGGTTTGGTGGTTAGGGGTTAGAGTTAGAGTTAGGGTTAAGGTTAGAGTTAAGGTTAGGGTTCTTCCCTTCAACTGATTCTTGGATAGAAAGGATTTTGTTTGACTTTCCCTAAGAAGAGTTTTTTTTTAATTAGTAGCTACCTTTAGATTGAGAACAGTCATACGGTATAGTATGTTGAATCTTATTGTACTTGTTACTCTATTATTTTACACTGTTGCTCTGCTATATTTGTTTGATACCCTAATGTCTTTGAGTTATGTTTGAAGGTTCACTCCAAACTAGAAGGTTTTTAAGCGCACCCATGAGGCACAAACTTTGCTACATTCTTTGTTTGAATTTGTCATAATTACGTTGCGTCGACGCACTGACAGCTCACACATAGTGTGGCCAAGATGTGTCAATCATCGGTATTTATTGTGATCAGTTGATCAACGTCTGCTGTCTGGCAACCTTTTACGACGCATTTGTTGTAATTTATCAATTGTGAAAGAAATTGTGGAAACCAACTTTAAGAATGGGTAGGTTGTTGTGTTCAGAGCCCTCTATTCGTAAGAGTTGCGACAAACGGTCTGTGGCTAGCGCGTAGCCGCCATTTCGGTTCAAATTTGCAAAGTGAATCTATAATAATACTATTGAAAATTGGGTATATATGCAAAAGTGGAAAGCAATTTAAGCTTATTCCATGGTATTATCTAATATATTAGGAACAATAGCAAGCCCTTTGGGGTTTTTTAACGATTTGGGGCAGACCTGCTTTAATTTCATTGGTTTGAGCTTCGTTTGCGGTTTACTAGTTCGTGCTTCAAATTGATCGTGACCCACTGTAAGAAGTATTTTTCGTAAGTGAACGTGTTTTCTCGACTTATGTTCCGACTCTGTAACAAGTTTTCAAAATCTTTAAGCTTGATGGCAAGCGGCAATGTTATCCTGGCATCACTGTTATCAACTAGTTGGACAAGACTTTGTTCGAAACTTCGAATCTTAGTAATCATGCAGTTTTGGTCCTGAGAGATTTGTGTTCAAGATTTGTAACAATTTAATAGTATTGAGTTGTTTATGCCCTCCAATTTGATCGAAGCATGACAATTTTTCTTCTGAAAGATCACAAAATTTTCTTGCTCAGCAGAAAATGACAGACTTTTTTACTTTTTAGTTATTGAAATATGCAGTGATTTGCCCAAGATGCATTTGGCCTTAAACATTTTATTCCTTTGTATGAAGTTATTTCGCCTTAAACACTTTATAAAGTATTAAAGTTTATTTCTAATGAAGTTTGTTAAGGATTCTGCTGAAGCATTTCTTTAAAATGAATATATTATTTCTATAACATGAAACATTTCTGTTATTGAAGAACAGTCTGTTTGCTATAAGTATACTGTTTGTAGTCTTTTATACAGCATATGAGTCTGATCCAACCTTTAATTTAGCAAAGAGTTACATTTATGGGTTGAGGAATGACTCAACTTCTGTATGTGTTTATTGATCAAACAGGGGTGTGTTGGAGGGGGCTTAGACCCGTTTGTTCAAATGCTATACCTTGTATTGCCAGTGATATATATATATATATATCAAAAAGCTAGCAGCACTTAAATATACATCAGAAAACCAGCAATATTTTAATATATATCAGAATGGCAGCAGCAGTTGTAATATACATTAAAGAGCCCAAATAGCTGAAATTATGGAAATATGCCTCTGTGATCTTATAAACCCAAACCTACAATTAAAATATCATTGACAAGTCTAGAAGAAAAGTAATGTTCTACTTTGAGCTACAAAAGTAGGGTACATTTGTACAATTCATTACCAAAATATATTGTACTCAGCTGTTTCAGCGAATATCTTAATTATAATTACTTCATTTTAAATGCTTGACATTATCTCTACTTACTCGACTATATTAGCTGGAACTTCTGGTCTTTCGATTTCCCAGTGGTCGCTTCATTCATAACGCGTGGCTCCAATAATTGTCTTTCCAGTTTGCCATTTGATATCTGTTTGTTTTATCATTCGTTACGATTTTGTTCGATTTTTAAATAGCTACTTGCATGTCTTATATGACATATCTTACATGACTCTTTATTGGCAAATTTCTATGACGAAATAGAATTTTCGATCTTCCGACGTTCCTGTTATTTGAATTAAAAATAGGCTTGTTTAGCTTTTACTGGTTTTCAAACAACCAGGTTATAATATTTACAGCTAACTATACCTTTTTGTTATGCAACTAAACATTTTCAGAGTGTAGTTAATCAGGGGCGGATCTAGGATTTTCAAACATCAGTCATAAAACGTCGGAAGCGCTCCGCACCTGGGGCGGTCCAAGACATTTTCCCTGGAAATTTTAAATTTCAGAGACTTGAAAATAACATTTTCAGCGTTTTAGAGCAATACAAAATGTATTTTGTGTGCATCGTTTTAGCGTAAAAAAAACTGAAATAAACAATACTTGAATGTTATGCCAAATATTTAGGCTCATTATCATGCCAAATATATGGCTCATTTGCATGCCTAGGAACATAAAATTTATTTTACAATAATGCTATTCCAAAAGGTATTGTCTTTAAAATTTTCTCCCAAGTTGTCAGGGAAAGACTCCCCTAGAGACCCCCAATCAAACATCTATGTAATGAGTTAATTTAGAAATTTGGTACTAAAAGGGACAGTTCACAGATGTGGAAAACCTCAGACTTCAAACCATGCAAGTTTATTGTAACCCTTACCAATCTCCACATACAGTGCAAATTTTTTCTGCCAAAGATTAAGCAAAATTATGAGTGAAAATTTGGAATTAAAACAGCTTAATGCAATTAATGTTTATTAGGCATTTTACTAGATTATTATCTTCTGTATGTATATGCAAGGTGTGCTATATGTTAATCACCAGTAGCATTGTATTTGCCAACACAAACAGAATGTTACCAACATGCCTTTAGTCATATAATTACATGAATGTTAAAATTGGTTCATGTGTCATGCTTACTGGTTATGATAAATGTCTTTTCATATGATCAAAGCTCGTTTAAATGTAAATCTGAAATAATTTAGTTTAGAAATTATAATGATCATCAGAAATATTACCTAGTGATCATGAAAAATACTTTGCTGTTTTGTCAAATTTCAAGGTTTATCTGCATATATAGGAACACATTTTTCCTTTGTAGAATATGCTTTTCATACATCAATAGCCCTTTGTAATTTATGGCAAACAATCTGGTATGAGTCGTAGATCAACACACCTTGGCATCTCTACATGAGGTGTTCAGTTGGAAAAGGGATAATATGTGACATGGGACAATATTTCATGTATGTGAAATACTCAGGTTTAATACCATTCCAGTCAATTGTCAAAATAAAAAGCCTCGCAGATCTGAAAAGACTCAAAATCACAGGTTATAGAAAACAGCTTCTCATGTAATCAATGTTAGTTTTCTTAAATCTTAAACAATGTGTAGTATAACTGTCCAATGATTGAATGATCAATGATCATAAACTGAAAATTCCCAAACATTTGTTTATGATAAAGTAAATAATAGTATGGCGCCTTATGGCTACATATTTTTTGTCCATTGAAATATATTTGCAGGAATATAGGGTTTCGCTGCCATATAACGGGCAAGATTCCCCAAGCACTAAAGAAACCATAGGTAAAAGTCCTTCAGGAACAATAATTTTAGAAGCATCAATCTGCTTACCATACGCCATATTGACATCAATCGCATCACATACTCGCATAAATTGAGTTGAATATTTTACATTCATGCATACACTTCACTTGTCCTTTAATTACGATTTTGGATGTAAATTTCTGCCGAGAAAACTCAAAAGAATGTTGGCTTGCTTTTGAAAATCAATGACTGCAATGTCGCTCGCGAGATCGATTTTGCCAAGTATTTACAATTTATCCATAAATTTTTCATCCTCTTGAGAAAATTCACAGTTTGGACAGCAGCATTCATGTCAATATATGAATTTGCGAAAGATTTCCCTAAATTTCATCTGATTGTAGTTTCTCTCATACTTTAGAAAATTACTATGAAACGTTCAAACATTCATTTCAGACAGTGATCTTGACTATGTTAGTTCCGTTGGTTATCAGTCGGAATCGGTAAAACCAATCACAGTAAGACAAAAATTTAAACGAACCAATTACGCGATAGCAATTGGACTCCCTTATCGGTGCGGCCACCCCGCTTATCCGTCGAGATTATTCAAGATCATCCACTGATCTGGCTATTGACCAATGGAATGGCTTAAATAAGCGTTCTTGAACTCCGTTATCGGTCGAACCAGTCGAGCCACCCTCTTATCAATCAGCCAGTTAATGTAATTCTAGATATGTTTTATCTACTGATCTGTTTACTAAAGTGGTATTTGTATGAGTTTTATACATAAAACAGAATTTTGACGATGAAATCCAAATGATTACAGAACGAAAATTTAATAATCAAAAAAATTGTAATCATTAAATTTGATAAATAATTTTTGAACTATAAACATCAATCGCGTGACTGATTGGACATACCCTAGATCAGCCCCTATAATTAATTATTTTAAACTCGAAGAAAAACAAATTTGTCACTGCTGCTTTGCCTGGAATATTTATCCATTTTTTCTATTTGTTTTGCCTCTGGTAGCTTTGTTTACCATCGTTTGTAGACAATATTAGCAAGTTGCTTGTTTATATTGTCACCAACCTTCTCTTCTTGCTCCAAATCGTGTAAATTTTTCTGTAGCTTAGCGTTGTTTCGCATTTTTACAGTGTAATTTATACGGAGCTACCGATAAAATCAATTAATCACAGTCGAGAAATACCCTAAAGCGTGTTATTAGATGTATTTAAGAGCATTCTGCGGCAAAGTATTTTATTAAAAATGTTTTTACATCTTACTACAGACCAGCAAAGACAGCTCATTATTTTGCTATGCAATACAAATATTTTTACTTCCACTCACATGAAAATCAATGAATACAATGAATTTTTAAAAGAAATGAATAAAAATGAATACTATTCTTCTTTCTATACACTTTTAGTTAGACTCGATCTTTGCAAGGACTGAGTTTAATTGGAACCAAAATGACGGATACCTACTTATTTTACTTCTAAAAAAGAAAATTATAACTTTGTTAACTTTGTGTTTTCTATAATACGGTGTTTTATTTATCAATTGCAATTTTCAGACAGTGTTGAAAAAGAATTTTGGACAATACGTCTTGAAATGATCTAAGTTAATGAAGTTCTTCTACTTTCTAAAAAGTATTATTTAGTATTTTTAAAAGTGACTCATAAGTATTGCATTTTAAGATCTTTTCCTGTATCTCTGATATTCATTTTTTGTCGTGAATGTGTAAATCTCATTATAGAATTCATCATTCTAGATTTTGAAATGATGACTGCTTCAGAGAGCTCAGAAGACAAAGCAAATGCGTTTAAGTTGATGAGATTAATTGTTGATCTTGGTGGTGAGGCTTTGCGAATCACATTGAAAAAACAACTGTCAGGTATTGATTTATTTCATGTCTTAAAGAACCCAACAAATAAGGCAAAACTTTCGAAATTAAAAAAGAAGAAAGTAATTGGTCAAGAACAGTGGGATTTATTTTATCCTAGTCCTCCAACATTGCCAAATGAAAATGATTTTGACATTACTTTACTTTGTATACTCTTACGCAATATTTGCAATTTAAAACCACCGCATGATCCAATTTGGAATAACATTCCTAATCCTACTGATCATTCAACTGAAGCAGATATTACCCGTATCAGGTTATTTCGCAATGATCGTTTCGCTCACTTACCTAACACTTCAGTAAGCTTTGATGACTTTCAATGTTTTTGGGTGGAAATAAGCGAACCATTAGTTCGCTTAGGAATAACTCAGGGAGAAATAGATCAATTGAAGAATGTGGAAGATATTTTGTCGAAAAAACTTGTGAGTTTAGACTTCGAGAGTGTAATTACGCATCACTACGAACAATTTTAGAAGGAACGCGGGAATGGGTTTTGATGAGTTCTTAGCTTGGTTCCATAGCGATACATCCGAAAATCGTGCATTTGTTATTTCCGCTGTTGCTGGCATGGGTAAATCTGTAATTGCAGCTACCTTGTGCAAACGTTATCCTCAATATTTGAGTGCAGTTCATTTCTTTCAACACAACAACAGTCGTTACAATAAAGCCAATACACTTCTTCAATCTTTAGCCTTTCAAATTGCTCATACTTTTCCTGCTTATCAACAGCTTCTTGAAAAAAAACTTTCTGGTGAACTCTCTCAGCGTTTGAATAGCATGAACGTTGAAGAACTGTTCTATTTGCTTTTTACTAATTTGTTTTCCAAAATCGTAAAATCTCCCAAGCGATTCCTAATTGTGTTGGATGCTCTGGATGAATGTGGTTATGAAGAAAGGGGCGACCTGACTAACTTGATTGCTAATCACTTGCAAAAACTTCCGCATTGTTTTCGCTTTGTAATTACAACAAGGTCAAACGAAGTTTCTTTAAACACATTCAAAAATTAAATCCACTATTTATTAAATGCAGTGATGATCGCAACTTAAATGACATCAAATTATTGATCGATGAAAGAATTGGCTCTACTGACAGCCTAATGCAATTAAAAAATGATTTAGTAGACAAAGCTGACGGACTTATGTTGCTTGCATCTCTTCTCTGCAAGGAAGTCAAAAATGGAAGTTTGTCGAATGCATCCATACCAAAAGATCTAAATGAATATTATGAAACCTGCTTTAAAAGATTAGGTAAAGAATTAGAGGCATTTCAAATCAGTAACGAAAAATTTTTGTCAGTTTTAGATGCTTTGGTTGTTGCCAAAGAACCTCTTCCTTTCGAAATAATCGAGAACAAACTTTGCACGAAAAGCACATCATGTTTGGTTAAAAAAATTATATCTTGCTTATTTGTTGTCAAGGCAGACGGTTGTGTTTCGTTTTTTCACAAGACCTTGAATGATTGGTTGTTTAATGATCATGAGCATGATTACTCAGTTGATAGGAGTGGTGGTCATTGGATTGTTTTAGAATTTTGTTTGAAAACACTCGACGAACTTAAAGCTGTTGGCGTAAATTATGACAAAATCAAGTATGCGTCAGTGAAGTATTCAGTTAAGTATTGGTTTTTCATATGCTTGCCGTTGATAATGCTTCTATCATTGAAAATATTGGTAAATATCTTGTAGACTTAGAAGTTTTAGTTGCTTCTTTGTTGATCGATGAAGATATTATGTTGCATATGTTCGACTTGTTTATCTCTCTTGACGTGTATTTTCGCATTTCTGAGGCCACTCGATTGTTATTTAATGATCTTTATTGTTTGTTGACATTCGTCGTTAACAATTATACTCGAGATATGGATAAATTAATATTTTTTTTGCAAAACGTTGTCAATGAAGTTAGAGATCTTTCATTCCAAGCTACTGCAATGCTTCAAACACGTTTCAAAGAGTCTGCTTATTTAGAGCACGTCGAAATGGGTTTTGTAAAGACGAAGTTTTTATGTTTAAATCGAAACTTGAATTCGATCGATGTTTCACAAAATCATGACTACGTCATATTGGGTTATGAGGGATTCATTGTACAACTTTTGTCGCTGAGAAAAAGCAGATGTTTATGGATAAGAAATATTGCTGATCAGTTAGAGCGCTGTAAAGGGGAAGAATTTCGCGTTATCTTTCATCCTTTCAAAGATTTCATTTTTGCTTCACAACTTCATAAGGTGCTATGTATTAATGGTAAAATTTGCTCCAGTCCATTCCATTGTGATGATTCTACTTCTAAGTTCTTTACTAACAGCTGTTTTTCAAAAGATAAGCGCACGCTGGTTACATATTACGAAAATGTTTTGACAGTATGGGACGTTGAGAAAGGTGAGAGGAAGAAGAGAATTAGATGCGTCAATGTGACCTCACTGTGTTTTACCAGGTCGGGCAGATATTTGGGTGTTGTCGAGAACAAAAACATGTTTAGAACATACGATGTAGCGAATAACTATGAAATATTTGTTTTTGACCATCAATCACCTTTTGGAGAAGTTTGTATTAGTTTCACTGTTGGTCTTCATTCTTGGTGTTGTGGTTTGTATTCACAGTCTTTCATTTGGAAACTTTTTGTTATAAATCCTACTGGTGAGAAACTTCTTAACTTAGATCTTACTTTTACATATCGTTTGTATCCTCTTGATCCCTTCGACTATAACATATCAACTTTTTCTCTTCAAGGTCTTGGGATGTATAATTATTTTATATTGAACAACGACAATGCTCTTCTATTTAGCTACGGAAAAGATTTACCTCAGGAATCTCATGTTTTGTTAATAGCACGTGCACTTGCAATTACTTACCATGTTGATAAAGAAAATATTTGCTTGAATGAAAACTCTCTTTATCTGAATGAAAATTCAAGGGTAATTGTTACCAATCTCAACACAGGTGACTTTGTTATCAAGGAATGTTTAGTAAATGAAATGGTTGCAGTACAAAGTGGAGTAATTTTGCGTAAAGAAAAAAGCATTCCAGAACTCTGGAATAATGATTTGACAGAACTTCTTTATAGTTTCAATGAACTAAAAGATACAAACCGAATTTTTGAGGTGAGTGATTTGTCAATTGCCTGTCAAAAAACTGATTCTCTTGTGTTTTTTAATATAGAAAACAAGCAACAAGAAGTATTAGTGAATTTTAAGCATCAAAATATGCACATACTTGCATGCAGCTCAAAAAATCATGTGTTTGCTAAAGTCAAGTTTGAGGATGAAACATCTTACTATATGTGGCATGAGGACAAACCAGTAAATGGTTGGAATGACGTACTTCAGAAAGAAATCATTGGAGGTAGAGAAGCACTAGATGGTTTAGAATATATAGATGAAGAGTTTAGAAATAGGATTAAGCGGCTAGGTAACAGTATTGATCACGCTGACTTTTCACCATCAGCGAATAAATTATTAATTAGTGACAGCCATAGCTATGTAAAGGTATTTGACGTTAAAAACATACAAGTTATTTACAGTTTAACCATGTTTTTAGCTAAGTCTGTCTTTCTGAATGATAGATTTATAATTAGTGATAAGTTTATGTTGATTGATTTGAAGTGTTTTAAAAACGTACAATTAGGTTTTCCGCTTTTGCGCGTAAATCGTAGCAGCTTTTATTTCTGCTGTAAACGCAAACTTGTCTTTACTTTCTTCACTGACTTAGACGTTTTGATAAATTGCGCGAAAATTGTATTGCCACGAGAATGAATTTAGTCTTTGATGATAAAATTGCTCTTTCTTGGATCATAACGAATCTTAACCACATTTTCTTAAACAACATCACATTCTATAGTATCGCAAGTTCCTTATTCTTAAAAAATTGTCATTAACATGCACAATTTATAACATTAACAATGTAAGTTGGAATTTCAAAAACATGTGTGAAAGACAAAAAATATTCAGTAGCAACAATATGGGCGATTACGGTTGAAAACTAAGCATATTTAATTAAGTAGTTGCGAAAAAGTATTAATTAAGTTTTTTGTTGGAAACAGACTTATTACGGGAACTATTCCCTAAAAAGTCCAACAAGATAATAATTTAACTTTAACAATAACACAGGTTTATTAAAATAAAGTTTTACTACAACAAAAGTACGTAATATATCAGCTAGTGGTAGTTATAAGACAATATAGGTTCAACATTTATAAACTACATTGTAAAAACACTAATACGTACACGTACAATGAATTTCTACCTAAAGAAGAAAATAACTTAACGTAATTTTAACAACAACGTAAGTTTATTAGGTAAAAAGTCCAATTTAAGCACGTAATATGCATACTAGTGATAGATATCAATAATGCTATAAACATTGTTAGTCTACATACTTCTAATGTTCATAATATTTTATAAAAAATTTCTTGCATGTAGAGAATCGTAGAATATAAGTATGTATAATGATTGTTTTCAAATAGTATATTACCTAACAGTGGTTTGCTTTTCTATATTTGTTTGACAAGTTAGAATTAACAAAATGATGTTGTTGTCTTGAGTAAAATCATTATCTTATATGCAAACTTCATTTGTGACCTTTATTGTTTTTATTATTGCTCTTTTATTTCACTATTTAATTGATTGATTTTATTTTTCATGTATGGTGTCTTTAATTGGTGACATATTCGTAATAATTTGGTTATTGTTCGAACAATGAAAGTTTAACAAAAAATGTTTGATGACATCATATGCATGGATCAACGTATATTTGCAAAATTGAAAGGAGCAGAGCTTTTACAGCTAAACAAATGCGATTTTTATACATTAAGAATATTTGATTGAGAACTTTTGATGTATTTTGTTATACACTATGCACACACAATTACTATGGTAAAAATATGCTTTGAGATATTTCTCAACTGTGATAGGTTGATTGCAGAGCGATAGTGATAGATTGGTTTATCTGTAAATGCAAAATGAAAATGTGTAATTGTACTGTATACATATGTGATTACACTGCAATCACTGTTTTCTGATTTGCTGATAAGCAATGAAAGCTAAACAAACTTCTGTTTAGTTCAAAAATACACGGCGACAGTTGTACCTAAACACAGTTTACTAAAATTGCAATCGCTTGAAAGACAAGAAATACAAAAGAATGCTTATAATAAAAGCAAAACAGGAAGCAGTGGTTCTTAGGTAACTGTTTTAAACAGGAAGGACACCTAACGATGCTTTCTGATGCAATAGAGCGTAAAGAAGAGACGGTTACTGACTGTACAGTCTAGAAATACCTTAAAGTATATTTTATTAAGTAATTGTATAATTTCTCGTGCAACTTTGTCTAGACATGCACTTCTGAGTGCATTAAAGACTGTAAATATTTTGCTGCAGTCGTGCATGTTTATCTGTACTTGCATTAGTAACTATCGCATTAACCATGCAAATTTATATTTAGTGCAGGATGGTTTTAGTATTAAACGCTGCTCGTTTTTTGATACTATCTTGTTCTAAAAAAAAGTTGTTCTTCAATCAGTCAATATTATTTTGCATTTAAATCATTTTTTATTCTTGATAAAAGTTATATCGTCGTAATACTTGCATTTTGACCATAAAAATTTGAAAACATGGGTGTTATCAGAGTCCAAGCCAGCCCAAATCTTTTTTTCGTTTCATAAATATTTTCATGTTCATCCATTTAAAAAATGTAAAATCACAATAAATGCGTTGCGCTTTTGCTAAATTTTTCTAGCAAGACAAAATGTTTGGGCTAGCTTTGATCCTGAGCTTAAAGAAATAAATTAACAAGTATAATGTGACTATTGTTGCTGTTTGCTGCAAACTAGCTATATCATTGTACGAATCTGAAAAGTTAGCAATAAGTTTAACAAAGACAAAGAAAGGAAAAAACGACTATAATCACTACGGAAGGATATTTAAAGTCACGTTTATCGCTTTCAGTGAAAACTTGTGTCAAAGATTGTCAATTTTTGAGCAGCTTTGCTTTCTGAATCATAGTTTATGGGATGATTTTATAAAGAAAAAGAATCGTTGATAACTCTTTCTCCACCCGTATTTAGTGGACATTCTGCAAATTTCTTCGCTGATTTTAGTTATGGCTTCTTCAAAAGTTTTCATCGTATGCTGTAGTTGAACGATATTAAGAGAAGGAGCCAAACAAGAAGCATGACCTAACATAATGTGGTGAAGCTGATTTTTGTCTTTATCGTAATGTCATTAAACTGAAATGTGAAAGTATCATCTCATGCAGACGTTTTAATAGAGCTTCTCAGTACAGAAAAAAAGTGAACAATGGATGTGCTATCACGAAATTTATTGAGATTTTGTGATAAATATTTAATTTTAATACAAAGTATCGTGGCATTTAAATTTTTCTAGCAAGACAAAAAGTTTGGGCTAGCTTTGATCGTAAGCTTAAGGAAATGAATTAACAAGTATAATGTGACTATTGTTGCTGTTTGCTGCAAACTAGCTATATCATTGTACGAACTGGAAAAGTTAGCAATAAGTTTAACAAGGACAAAGAAAGGAAAAACGACTGTAATCAATATGGAAGGATGTTTGAAGTCACGTTTATCGCTTTCAGTGAAAACTTGCGTCAAGGATTGTCAATGTTTGAGCAGCTTTGCTTTCTGAATCCATAGTTTATGGGATGATTTTATAAAGAAAAGAATCGTTGATAACTCTTTCTCCACCCGTATTTAGTGGACATTCTGCAAATTTCTTCGCTGATTTTAGTTATGGCTTCTTCAAAAGTTTCCATCGTCTGCTGTAGTTGAACGATATTAAGAGAAAGAGCCAAACAAGAAGGAGCGTGACATAACATATTTAATGTAGTGAAGCTCATTTTTGTCTTTGTCGTAATGTCATTAAACTGAAATGTGAAAGTATCATCTCATGCAGACGTTTTGATGGAGCTTCTCAGTACAGAAAAAAAGTGAACAACGGATGCATTATCACGAAAGTGATTGAAATTTTGTGATAAAAAATTTAATTTTAATACAAAGTATCGTGGCAGTTGAATATTGCTAAAGAGATTTTTGTTGCTGTTTCAACAAGTCAGGCTGCTTCTTTAACTAAACACTTTTCCATTGTCTGAATTATGACTCTTTATCTTATTTATGTAAGCCCAGAATTTATACCTGTTTGGTTTAATAAGAGTTTCTGTCAACAATTATTGCAGACTAAATGTTTTCAGTAGAGCTTGTGTAGATGGTGAAAAAATCTTTGCAAGAATGACTTTAACAACTAGGACATACATCAGTTACGAAAATTATATGTATGAGAACATTTCTACTTCACCTTTTCAAAAAGTTATTTTTTTAGTGTGAATAGCATATTTGAATTCACGAGACACCTGTATATAACCTAAGCTCTTATTTAAGAATCATAAATGTATACTTTTTATTTGTACATCCCATGTTTTTGCCTTTATGCTGTAGGCTTTGTTTTTCATCAGAAGTATTAAGGCAATTTATGAGCAAGTTAGTATAGGATAATTATGTTTGAACTCTTTATAATTAAGACGTGTAAACATATTTTTATTGTATTAATTTTCTAATTGCATGAAATAGTTGTTGTAAAATTAGTAATTAAAATTTTCGTAAAATTACTACAAGAATTCCGTGTGTTTAGCTTCCCTCACACCAGTGCCCCAGTACTGTAAAGCGTGCCTTTCTTCCTGTCAAAAGCAAGTTGTTGTTAGATATTAGCATGGAGATGGTGTTTTATTTGACCAACATGCGATGCGGTACATTGTCGAAACTTGCTAAGACAAAACAATATCAGATCTCAAGAATTTTGGAATCTATCAGCTGGAACTGAAAAAAGGATGAAATACGTGTGTAAATATGAAAACCTAACCGCAACTCGCCTTTGACAGGAAAATAGTCACCATGTCCTTCCATAATAACCCTTCAGATCACCCACGCTGAATGCTTAAAGTAGTTTTATGTCGTTGGATCTTGTTTTAACTAACCCACTGTGTTTTGCCTTCATATTCTTCAGAATGTTCATCTGTATCCTCTAAATCCTCATTCACCCTTTATTGTTAGTCCAATTCACCATACTTCACTTCCTGTAGTATAGTACGAATAACTACCTGCATAAAATAGAAATCTTTATGTGCATATAAACGCACGTGTGATCATTTTATTTGTTCGTCTGATAATGTCTAGTATAAAGACAAAACTGCACATTAGAATACTATTTGTTGTTTAAATGGCTATTAAAGAAAAATATGTTTTGAAAATATCTTCTATCTCAAATAAAATCGACTTTGTATGGCAGAAAATATAGCCCCCTCAATTAACGTTCCACTTACACCAATGCCTCTTTCGAAACAGACAGTGTTTGATATTGCGTTGTACCCTTAGAATTTCGTGAAAGCGGACTTTTTTGTGAAATTGTACCTCAATTGCCACATCATTGTTTTAAATGTTCATTCTGGAGACAAAATCAATCTATCTACGAGCTATTGCATTTACAGCTTTCATAAAATACATCAAAGGTAAATTAAAGTTCAATTAAACTTGTGGCGTTTTAATTTTTCTTGAAAGACCAGGTCTTCGAAATTTATATTTCTATTGCTTTTTTCCCCCATACGACGTCTGAATTTTACCGTAATGCCCTTGAGAAGAGTTTGTGTCTCTTATATCCGCTGACGTCATGTGAGAAACTCGGTAGCGTTTTGATCTAAAGATATAAAGCCATTTTGTTAAAGATACAGCTATTTTTAAGTGCAGAGAACTTCTTTCATTGAAATGTATTTGCCTAACTCAGCATTATCTTCTCCGGATTCTTCTGACAAAAAAACATATGATATAGAAGTCAATGACGGCGTTTCAGTTAAGTCCGAATGCTCTAATAGAGAAAACAATCACGCCATATTTAGCCTTCTGTAAAAAGGCGAACCTTTCGCCAGTGGAGACTGGAAAGAATGTTACGAAAATGAACAACATAAAAACGAAAAGAGATTAATTGATTTAGAATGCAATTTGATGGAGCAAATCCCCTAGAGAAATGGTAAGGATCTAACATTTTGTGTTTATTTTTTCCACGGCATAAATTATTCACCTCAATTTCAACAAAAGAGCAAGCATTATCTAATTATCACTGCATCAAAATAATTTTCAATGTTGTATAGGTGCACGTGCGGATACCGCATCACAGAGTTGTTGCAAAAAAACAGATGTGTGTCTGTGCTGTCAGGGGATCGACGCTTGTGTTACAACTTTCCACAATAGACAACTTCTTTTAGATGTATCTGAAGTCACCTTGTGCATTAAACACCATCCTGGATTTGCTCCTATATGTTAACAAGAGGAAACAAGAAGAAACGTAAGTTTTTATGCTTAATTTTTTATGGATTAACAATCATTGAAGAAAGTTATTATATTTTCTATGCGATTTTCACGAAGTATTGCTTACAGAAAGTTTACGTATTTTATTCACTTCCATCTTGTGCGTATCATTCTATTAGAAAACAGTTTATGCCACCAAAAGATGAAACTTTTGTGGGATATGAAGAGGAAACATCATCTGACGGAGAGTAAAAAAGAAA